CTGCGGGAGGCAGTGGAAGACAGGAGTGCCTGGCGTGCTCTGGTCCATGGGGTCACGAAGAGTCAGACACGACTAAACAACAAAGGTCACAATATTATGATGGAAGATTGGGAAAAATTATGGAAAACTGACTTAAAATTTACAGATTGTTCCCTACTGAAGGAGAATTACATGAAGATGATGTACAGATGGTACACAACACCAGTGCAGTTAGGGAAAATGTACAAAACTAGTTCAAATATATGTTGGAAGTGTAAGGAGAAGGAGGGAACATTTTATCATATGTGGTGGGATTGTGAGATAATTAAAAAAAAATGGGAAATGATATACAACGAATTGAAGAAAATGTTCCATTTAACATTTGTTTAAAAACCTGAAGCATTTTTATTAGGGATTGTAGGGAAAGATCTGCCAAAAAAGCTGAAAAACATCTTTATGTATGCGACAACGGCTGCGAGAGTTCTGGTAGCACAAGGATGGAAGACTGAAGAAACCCCAACTAAAGAATCATGGCAAGAAAAATTGATGGACTATGCAGAACTGGCAAAACTGGCATACAAGCTACGGGACAAGGGTAACTGTGACTTTAAAGATGAATGGGAACCCTTTACAAAGTATTTGAAGACACAACAAAGCGAACTGGACTCCTTGGCTGGTTTTGAATAAGCATTCACAAACTTTTCTATTGATTACAATCAGCTAAATAGTTTGAGGATCTATACAACTGTGTAACATGCAGAAAACAGCATTTTTAGAGAAATCAAAGACTGGAACTGAGGGAAGCGGGGGATGAGTTGTGTGGGAGGATGGGGAGAGGGAGGAAAAATGGGGGGAAATAAGGATGATATGTTTCTGGATAATATGTTTTGTTTTAATTGTGAATAAAAGTTATTCTTTTGGGTTGGCTAGCAAAACACCAGCACATGTATAAATGGCGCTGTGGTCTAAGCCACTGAGCCTCTTGGGCTTGCCAATCAGAAGGTCAGCGGTTCGAATCCCCACGACGGGGTGAGCTCCCGTTGCTCTGTCCCAGCTCCTGCCAACCTAGCAGTTCGAAAGCACGTCAAAGTGCAAGTAGATAAGTAGGTACTGCTGTGGCGGGAAGGTAAGTGGCGTTTCCGTGTGCTGTGGTTTCCATCACAGTGTCCCTTTGTGCCAGAAGCGGTTTAGTCCTGCTGGCGACATGACCCGGAAAGCTGTCTGTGGACAAACGCCGGCTCCCTTGGCCTGAAAGCTAGATGAGCGCCACAACCCCATAGTCACCTTTGACTGGACTTAACCGTCCGGGGGTCCTTTACCTTTTTACCTGCTAGTGCTGCATGTGAGTGGGTCAGCAAGCAAGGAAAGTGCATTTAAATGCTGCTATGTGTGTTTGGGTAGAAGGCTTACAGAAGGAAAGCGTTCTTCACCCTACAGAAGAGCAAGCAGCAGGACTGCCCATGTCCTTCAGTGGCAACAGGCAGACCCGCTGCCTCCTCCTTCTCTGCTCTCTTAGCCTATTCTCAGCAGCTTTCTGGCCAAGACAACGTGACTCGGCCTTGGCTTTGACTCCACTTCTCGAGCGATATTGCCAAAGGAGCGTCTCCACCCCCATCATCCAGCCTCGGTCCAGTATACGGCCTTGGTCCAGTATATCTGAAGGAGCGTCTCCACCCCCATCGTTCTACCCAGACACTGAGGTCCAGCACCGAGGGCCTTCTAGCGGTTCCCTCACTGCGAGAAGCCAAGTTACAGGGAAGCAGGCAGAGGGCCTTCTCAGTAGTGGCACCCGCCCTGTGGAATGCCCTCCCATCAGATGTCAAAGAGAACAACAACTACCAGACTTTCAGAAGACATCTGAAGGCAGCCCTGTTTAGAGCTTTTAATGTTTGATGTATTACAGTATTTTAATGTTTTTTTGGAAGCTGCCCAGAGTGGCTGGGGAAGCCCAGCCAGATGGGCGGGGTATAAATAATAAATTACTATTATTATTCTGGTGGTTCCCTCCCTGCAAGAAGTGAGGTTACAGGGAACCAGGCAGAGGGCCTTCTCGGTAGTGGCACCTGCCCTGTGGAACGCCCTCCCAGCAGATGTCAAGGCAATAAGCAACTATGTTACTTTTAAAAGACAACTGAAGGCAGCCCTGTTTAGGGAAGTTTTTAATGTTTGATGCTGTATTGTTTTTAATATTCGGTTGGAAGCCGCCCAGAGTGGCAAGGGAAACCCAGCCAGATGGGTGGGTATAAATATGAAATTATTATAAATGCCCCTTGCATGGAGGTCCTGCTATTAAGGAGGGAATCGGCACGCAACCTGAATGTAGCCTTCTTCTCTGCACAATGCAACAACGATGTCTGAGTCCACAACAAAGCAGGTAACCCAGCAAAGTCGGTTGCATGGAACTTGCTGGTCACACTAGATGCCGCCCAAATTATTGCTCCACTCAACAATACGTCTGTGTAACAAGACATGGGACAAACAGAGGAACCCGATTCTGATGCACATTTGAGAATGGAGCGGCAGACAACCCCAAAAGGAGGTCTCCGCCAGAAACCGCAGGAAGCAGGGCTGTGTTTTAAGTGGAACGTAACTGCCATCTAGTGGTGACCTGTACACAACACATAGAATCGTCGATCTGTAGTTTAGGCCAACCCTTGCAATGCAGGAATCACAACAAAAGAATTCCTGGCCATCCAGCTTCTTTTTTATTTTATTTTTATAATAATCCCACTCTTCCTGGAGGCAAGGGAGCCAAGTATTGAGGTCCTCTTCAGATTTATTGCACGGCAGAAGTGTTTCATGCAGGCAGATACAAGACTAAGAACTTTTTTTCCCCTTTAGGTGGCAGGGTAGAAAATATTGGTGTAGGGAGGGGGAATTAAAATAGGGGCGTTAGTGTTTTGGGTTCATAATCCACCTCTGCCTTTTATTCAGGTTTATGCAAAACACTACTAAACCTTGGGTTACATAAATACAATCCTGGTAACAACACACACAACGTAACAGGCTGTTTTTGACTATGTAACTTCTATTTCAAACACAATTCAACATACAGTATCTCACAAAGTGTAATTCCATAGACCAGCACATCATGTAAACAGAACATATCAAGAAAAATTAAAGTCCAATGGATGGTCAGGAGATAAAGTCCATTTGGTTCCTAAATCGGCATATTGGCAATAACCACAATATGGTATGCTTATCTTATGATGTTCCACGTATCGCTGCTTTGAGGATTCTAATATTCCTTGTATGTAGATATCGGATCAGATGAAAAACTTGAAGATACGGCACGACAAGGATTCCAGGATAATACCTTGTTTCGCCCAACAGGGCTTCATCAGCCGTGCACACTCATATTCTTGTATGGTCTATGGAATCACACTTTGTGAGATATTGTATGTTGAATTGTGTTTGAAATAGAAGTTACATAGCCAAAAACAGCCTGTTACATTGAGTGTTTTATTCAGGTTTGCCATCTCCATTTAGTAAAGCTCTCCTTTTTAAACAGCGATCAGCTAAACGTTTCCAAGACAGCATTCACAGCCTAACAACACCCGAGAACATGGTGTTACATTTACGAGGGTTTTGCAGCAGGATCTTTTCACAGGGAAGAGCTCAGGAGCAGCACATTTAGGGGGTAGAGAACGGAAGAAAAAAGTCGGGTGGGGTGAGCGGGGCCAGCTATCCTTCCCAACATGTTCAAAACACCTGCGTACAGTCACTGATCAAAAAAAACCTTGGTCCATAGCAGTGTATGATGTCTTTGTTGCAGGAAACATTTATTGCTCTCGGAAACATCAGCATCCGCCTGGCCTTTAATCTGAATTCAGCCTGATCTTTTATTTCCCTTCTCTTCCCTCCCCCTCCCCTTTTATGAAGATCACCCATTCTGAGACCCCACAGCTAATTCTCCCCCTGGCCTCCTTGCTGGCCCAAGTACAGTGGTGCCTCGCAAGACGAAATTAATCCGTTCCGCGAGTCTCTTCGTCTAGCGGTTTTTTCGTCTTGCGAAGCAACCCTATTAGCGGCTTAGCGGATTAGCGCTATTAGCGGTTTAGCGGCTATTAAAGGCTTAGCGGCTTAGCGGCTAAAAGGCTATTAGCGGCTTACAAAACGGGGGGGGGGGCGAAAAAAATCTCAAGACTCGCAAGACATTTTTCTCTTGCGAAGCAAGCCCATAGGGAAATTCGTCCTGCGAAGCGCATCGAAAAACGGAAAACCCTTTCGTCTAGCGGGTTTTTGGTCTTGCGAGGCATTCGTCTTGCGGGGCACCACTGTAGGACCAATTCAGCCAGCTAGCCCTGGGGATTATCTAATGCTTATTACCCCTAAATTGATTTTAGAATTTTATTATTATTCGTGTTTTTATACTGTATTTTATGCTGCTTTTATAATTAAGTGTTTTAAATTTGTTGTTAGCCCCCCTGAGCCCGGTATGAACCAGGAAGGGTGGGGTATAAATAAAATGTTGTTGTTGTTGTTGTTACATATTAGTAACCCTCCTCTCGAGACAAGTGAGGCGCTGTGGGTTAAACCACAGAGCCTAGGACTTCCCGATCAGAAGGTCGGCGGTTCGAATCCCCGTGACGGGGTGAGCTCCCGTTGCTCGGTCCCAGCTCCTGCCAACCTAGCAGTTCAAAAGCACATCAAAGTGCAAGTAGATAAATAGGTACCGCTGTGGCGGGAAGGTAAATGCGTTTCCGTGCGCTGCTCTGGTTCGCCAGAAGCGGCTTAGTCATGCTGGCCACATGACCCGGAAGCTGTACGCCGGCTCCCTCGGCCAATAAAGCGAGATGAGCGCCGCAACCCCAGAGTTGGCCACGACTAGACCTAATGGTCAGGGGTCCCTTTACCTTTACCTTTAACCCTCCTCTCATTGTTGGGAAGTTTTGACTGCTACACGCAAGTCAAAGAACAGAGCTTCAAGAAACTTCCAATTCACAAAAGTGGGTTGTAAATAGAATACAAAAAATGTTACATAAATTCTTTAAAAAAAAAAAAAAGAGTTCAGACAAAAGTGCAAAGCAAAATGTCATTTATTTAATTCAAGGACCAGCTTCCTTCTAATATTGCTGAAAATATTACCTCTTGGGGAACATCATTCCAAATTCCCTTCCTAGAAGTTCGTCAAGTGCTTTTTGTCATACATTCCTCTTAACCGCAGAAAGACCAAGGCAGTGGGCAACGACTGGCAATCCAATCCAGCATTGCTTCAGGCTACAAAACCATTTCAATCGGAAAAAGGTAACCGGAAGGTTTTGAGAGAAAGAATCATAGTGCTGGTTCATAGAAGGTGCTATGTGCCAACGTTTTCTATGCATGAATGTTCTTATGCCTTCTCGTGCCCTCTGTGTTCCCATGGGAAAAAATGGCACATGGATGGGAAGGTAAACCTGTATTCTCTTACACACGGCTGCTAAGATCTTCATGACTGGGCAGCTCTAAGAAAGACTACTTTGGCAATCAGGAATAACCTGGTATGTGTAAACTTCTGGCTCACATGCGGATTATTCCATGCAAAGACAGGCAAGCACAAGTCAAAAGGACATTCAGTGGCGACACTGGAGTATGAACCAACTGTAACTCATACAGAAAGTCATTTCTACATGAAGTTCAAAGCAACCGACCAAACAAGCAGTTGCAGGTTTTGGATCAATCATGTAAGCCATTTGATTATGCTACTGACTTGCAAGTTAAACTCCTTAGCGAGAGACATTAAATCCTCAACAGGAATCATTACATCCAGGTTACAGCATGGAATGCCGTTCCAAGAATTACTGAGCTGGGGGGGGAAGAGAAACACGAGACATTGGGAGTTGTCCAGATCCAAAGGATTTCTTGACCTACTGCCTCCTAAAGATCTACCATCCGGTGCTAAATGCCCTTATTATCCCCACTTGAAACATTTCCTACACGTTGGCAGCATGTACAAGCAGAAACTCACAGACACAGCAATGTTATCTGCTAACATTTCTGCCGGCAAAATAAAAATCCCATCTTCTGGCGTGCGTCTGTCTCAGTTGTTTTCGATCTGCTCTAGATCTAGACCTTCACAGTCCAGAGGAAAAATGCCTTCTTCGACACTCTCACAGTCACTGGTCTCCTCTTCACTTTCACACATAGCAGCCTCTTCCGTGGAAGCCTTTGTGCTGAAGCCGGCTTGCTGTGAGCCACGATGCTTGATATCATCATCCTCTTCCCGGCTGAAATCGGGAGTATTTATGTTCATAAGGTCATTCGAGTCGCATGGAGATGAGACAATGGTCTTCATTTGTGCCTCGTCATTGTCATCATCCTCATAATCAAGCGAGCAGAGACTTTTTGAATTTCTTAGAGTCTGTAATTAAAAAGCACGCAATTAAAAATTACAGGGGAACCAAGAGGACAAAAACTTTAAAAAAGAATGGGAAAACATTATAATTTATTTAGGAGACCACCGTAAGCAGATGGAAACATTAGAAGGGTTCTAATCTCACTTGTAACGTAAAAAATACTATGGATAATATGGGTGGATACAAAATATAGATTATGAAATAGTATGCAATTGAAAATGTTGGGGAAGTCTCGAGATTCAGAGAAATCTTTATATACGGGTATGTATTTGGTATTGCTATCAACTTTTATTTGTAAAATGAAATAAAAATGATTTGAAAAAAATAAAAAATAAAAGCATGCAATTAAAAATTATAGGGGGTAAACCAAGGGGCATACTACAGTTATAGTACAAGCAAATTTTGAACAATTGTTTCCATCTATACCAGTTAGCATTTGTTCTTGGTTCAACAAAAATGATCCATCTAGTCGCTGAGGAATAATGTATGTAATATTCTACATTTTAATACAACAGTACGTAACTGTGAAGCTTTACACGTGCTTTGGAAAACAATTCCTTTATAGCTTTACTCTATGTGCAGCAAGTACAGAACTTTTGCCACCCCAACAGAGGAAGCCAACATTGGCTCAGGCAAACATCGTAGGCATGGGAGTGAGGGCTGTCTTTAGCATATGCGCCGCCGGGGTGAAAAGATCCACCCAGCGCCCCCAAATTTAGTAAATTTTGTGTGTGCAGCGCCGTTGAGAATGACAAGCACAGCCGTTGTAAATGGTAAATGAGTGCACGAAGTTGAAAAGTCCTTTAGTGAAACAGTAGGTATACATTTCGGTAATACCTAGCTATATATGTATTTTGTTTTTCTAGCTTGATCAAAAACTATTTATTATTTCATAACAGGTAGATAGTTAAGAGCTTAGGCGGCTTCAGCGGTGGGCATCTGGCGCCCGGGTGCCCTGCACCCCATGCACCCCCAGGTAAAGACGGCCCTGATGGGAGTTCATGCAAAGGCTCTGGGTGTATGTTTAATGCCTAATGATGTATCTGCTTGCATTGCCACTGTTAACGCATGCACACCTCTATTCGGTCATTAATTGGGCCCTGATGAGATCAAAGGGATACGTTTGACCACCATGGCACACTGGTAATTTAAGGTCCGTATAGTTAAAGCTATGGTTTTCCCAGTAGTGATGTATGGAAGTGAGAGCTGGACCATAAAGAAGGCTGATCGCCGAAGAATCGATGCTTTTGAATTCTAGTGCTGGAGGAGACTCTTGAGAGTCCCATGGACTGCAAGAAGATCAAACCTATCCATTCTGAAGGAAATCGGCCCTGAGTGCTCACTGGAAGGACAGATCCTGGAGCTGAGGCTCCAATACTTTGGCCACCTCATGAGAAGAGAAGACTGCCTGGAAAAGACCCTGATGCTGGGAAAGATGGAGGGCACAAGGAGAAGGGGACGACAGAGGACGAGATGGTTGGACAGTGTTCTCGAAGCTACCAGCATGAGTTTGACCAAACTGCGGGAGGCAGTGGAAGACAGGAGGGCCTGGCATGCTCTGGTCCATGGGGTCACGAAGAGTCGGACACGACTAAACAACTAAACAACAACAACAGTATTTCACAGTGGCGAGGACCCTTTCCTGGTCACACTGGCCACAAACATGGGCTTGGGAATCCCATTTTGCTACTGAACATCCTATTGTCTATAACAGAGAAGCGTTAACGATCCAGTATTTTTCTCTCTCTATGGGTGTCAAGAAATTTTGAAATGTGTTAGCATGAATTGTCTTGAGATCCCATAGAACAATGATTGCCAACCTCTTTAGATGATTGGGCTCATTGCACATTCTGAGTGTTGTGAAGACCAGTGACAACATGGCTGCCACAGGTATGTGGCATAACACAAAATTTCGAGTCTGTACAATCATGGTTCCCTCCACCATAGCTGTATTTTGAGGCTAGAGAAAACTTGACCTATTGAATTTCTGCCTGCCATGCAGCTTTTAAAGGCACAAAAAACCCAGTCCCCCACCACAACGCTAACTCTAAAACAGAGCCTAGGCTACCATCCTGCCCACTTAGTTGTTAGTAAGTCCCAGTAAACACAGACAGATTTATTTCTGAGTAGACAGTTACAGCACTGTACTGTACTGTGAACTATACAGCTGATTATTAAGGAGAGCCTGGTATCATAGTAGTCCCTAGTCTCACATGCCTAAGCCTCTCCACAATTTTTTCACAATTTTAAATTTTAAAGGATTAATCACTGCTCTTTAGCCTAAATGTAGACATCAGATTAAGCACATTTCCCACCCTCCATGAACAGCTAGATAAGAAAGCAGGTGATCCATTGGCCAGTCATGCCCTGCAGTATCTACCCTTTTTTTTTACCCTTGCAAACTCCTCCATTCAAGGAGCCTATGCCCCCCCCCCCGATGCTTAATGGTACACACTAGGGCATGGGAAGGCAAACTAAGGCCTGGGGGCCGGATCTGGCCCAATCACCTTCTCAATCTGGCCCACGGACGTCCAGGAATCAGCGTGTTTTTACATGAGTAGAATGTGTCCTTTTATTTAAAATGCATCTCTGGGTTATTTGTGGGGCATAGGAATTCGTTCAGATAGATAGATAGATAGATAGATAGATAGTCAGTCCGGCCCACCACAAGGTCTGAGGGACAATGGACCGGCCCCCTGCTGAAAGTTTGCTGACTAGGGCAGCACTGCCAATCGGCACCACCAAGATCTAGCACAAACTCCCAATTTTTTAATTATTTTTTTTTAAAAAAAACCACTAGCTACCACTAGCAGTAGTTATTCCTCTGTTTTGAACTGGCGGAAGCTAAGCAGGACCAGCTACAGTTTTAGGGATCCTGAGCAGTGCACCCTTATTCCGCCCGCCCCCCATCGCACATGCTCACCGACAATGCTTACTGGGTAACAAGATGGTCCTGCAGCAGCAGTAAAATGGGAAGCAGCAGCCCCAAGGCCTGACATAGCAACCCTCCAGAGTGAAGAGCACTGTCGGAGAGTTAGAATGGCTGCTTTCTGTAGCTGACCAGCAAGCAGTCCTCTCAACACTAGGCCGCAAAAAGGAAAAAGGTTAGAGCCCCCCACCTGGCCCAGTGCAGTCAGCGGACAGCAGCAGAGGACCCTGCTATGACCTCAGCAGTTGCCCCCCTGGGTGCTGATCCTGACCCTGCCTTCAAGGCCAATGGACAACTTTACTCATGAAGGGCTGCAGCTACTGGGATTTACATTTTTGCTGGAGGACACCTTGGAGATTGTATCTGAACCCTGTTAAATGATTAGATACAATGGTTTTTTATGAAAGTTGTTACGCATATGTTTGCATAAACCAATTGGATTAAGTATGTAATGATGATGATGATGATAATAATAATAATAATAATTCTACTGTTTGTGCCCTGCCCATCTGGCTGTGTTTCCCCAGCCACTCTGGGTGGCTTCCAGCAAAATATAAAAAATAAAATGTCAGACATTAAAAACCTCCCAGAACGGGACTGCCTTTAGATGTCTTCTAAAAGCTGTGTAATTCTTTATCTCCCTGACATCTGATGGGAGGCCGTTCCATGGGGAGGGCGCCACTGCCGAGAAGGCCCTCTGCCTGGTATTGCTTTCAAGTCTCACTTGAAAAATTAAGATTACTACAACGACAGTTTCTCCAACTCACTGGGTAGATAACTTGGATTTTGAGATAATCGCCTGCCGCAAAAACCAATTCAAAATTTCAGGGAACAAAGCCTGCTTTTTCTTTTTTTTCAACTTTGTGTAATGCCACAGTATTTATCCCCTCCCCAGAAGGTGTAAAAAGGCACTAGATTAACAGAGGAACTAGAGACCTAGCTAAAGAGGACCATCCTATTTGTAGCTGTATAAAGGTGAAGGGACCCGTGACCATTAGGTCCAGTCGTGGCCGACTCTAGGGTTGCGGCACTCATCTCGCTTTATTGGCCAAGGGAGCCGGCATACAGCTTCCGGGTCATGTGGCCAGCATGACTTCCGGCGAACCAGAGCAGCGAAAGGAAACATTGTTTACCTTCCCGCTGGAGTGGTACCTATTTAACTACGTGCACTTTGACGTGCTTTCGAACTGCTGGTTGTCAGGAGCAGGGACCGAGCAACGGGAGATCACCCCGTCGCGGGGATTCAAACCGCCGACCTTCTGATCGGCAAGTCCTAGGCTCTGTGGTTTAACCCACAGCGCCACCTGCGTCCCTTTTAATAGCTGTATAGCATAGGTTTAAATGCAGACAGACAATCTCACCCGAGTCATTTTTAAAAAGTCCAACGAGGGGCGATTCCATCGGACGTCTTCTTCTCGCCTACGCTTGAGTCTGCTTTTCTTCTCATTGAGGACACAAGGCTGTGAGCGGCATCTCAGTAAACCCTGACGCCGACTGAGCTCTGGCGTGGAAGTGGGAGTGCTGCTGGCTGAGGACAAGTTATTTCCCGTCCCAGTAATATGTTCCTGGGACAGGGAAAGGCGGCGTCTCGGATTAAAGTCGTAAGACCTTCCGGAATTCCAACGAATACTCGAAGTGGAGCTTCCTTCGCTGCAGTCTACAAAGCCACTGCTAGCAGAGGACGGCCTGGGAACAGGGGAAGTGTTGAGGTTGGCGATTTGGATGACATTATTCCAAGAATGCCCACAGTGGGGCAGGCCGGTGCATGTGTTTGGCTTTGAAGTGGTGCTCCCGTGGCTATTGCATCGCTGCAAAGTGGTGCTGCCTCCGCTGTTGCACCGCCTCTTCGACACAGGAGTCCAGATCTTTGAGCTGCCAGGTTTCCACGGCGATCGGCACCGAACCAGTTCATCTGGTTCGGAGAGCGACCTGCAGTGGCGTTTGGTAGGGGGCGTCAGCGGGTGCCTGGACTTCTCGTTCAGACTGAGTTCACTTATCCATCCCGAGACGAGAGACTGGCCCGGCGATTCTTGCTGCCAGTGTAAATCCACACGGGTCGCGCTCGAACTGAAAGGACACAACGGCAAAGAGCAAATGGACTTCTTGTTTGGTTCAGTTCTGGCCCGACAGTCCCCATGCGACGAATTCCAAGGGCCTTCTGCTGCTGAGCGGAAATGGGGGTGAAAAAGAAAGGAAAATGTTTGCCATCAAGTCAGCAGTATTATTAATTTTATGCCACAAAGCGAGGGGAGGGAGGGAAAGGGCAAACATTCCACTACTCTTTTTATTTTCTTCGAACAATGCTAATAAACATTCCCACGAGGTGGCTTCAAAAAGCAAGGTAAAAGAGCTTGTGAAACATAAACCCATTGTTCTATAGCACATCACCTGACTTACACCAGGAGGCATTTCATCTGCATACTATAGTAAAATACTTCTTCACAGCAGTTTAAATTTAAGGTTTTATTTCAACATCTCTAGTATTAACGTGCCCAATCTTAAAGTAATTAAAGGTAAAGGTAAAGGGACCCCTGACTATTAGGTCCAGTCATGACCGACTCTGGGGTTGTGGTGCTCATCTCGCTTTATTGGCCGAGGGAGCCGGCATACAGCTTCCGGGTCATGTGGCCAGCATGACTAAGCCACTTCTGGTGAACCAGAGCAGTGCACGGAAACGCCGTTTACCTTCCCGCCGGAGCGGTACCTATTTATCTACTTGCACTTTGAGGTGCTTTCGAACTGCTTTGTTGGCAGGAGCAGGGACCAAACAACGGGAGCTCACCCCGTTGCGGGGATTCGAACCGCCAACCTTTTGATCGGCAAGTAAGGTAGCTTTAATTTTCATACGATTATGCTGGTATCTACGGTTGTTTTTTCATGGTAATGGGTTCTTTATTTTGAACTGTTGTGTTTCCCTGATGTTTTGCCTGCTTGCTTCATTATGCTATCATGAAGCAATACAACCACATGCGGCTAGGCACCAGCCTCTTCAAACTGTTTCGTTTCTTTCCAAATATAGTCTGGCTTCTTTCTCGGAATGCCTTGCGGTCCATTCATCTCTCACATTCATGAAAATATACATGAAAAACACTGGGTTTCACAAAGTTTAGCGTCTCTATAGAAAGTTGTGAGTATTAGCCCAAATTGCAGCCAACAGCAAGCTTCTGTCTTGAAAATAGGAAAGCCAAAGAATTTGGCTGAGAGTCCTGGAATAATAATAATAATAATTTTATTATTATTTATACCCTGCCCATCTGGCTGGGTTTCCCCAGCCACTCTGGGCAGCTCTCATTAGAACATTAAAAACAGAATAAAACTTCAAACATTAAAAACTTCCCTATACAGGGCTACCTTCAGATGTCTTCTAAAAGCCAGATAGTTGTTTATTTCTTTGACATCTGATGGGAGGGCGTTCCACAGGGCAGGCGCCACCACCGAGAAGGCCCTCTGCCTGGTTCCCTGTAACCTCACTTCTTGCAGGGAGGGAACCGCCAGAAGGCCCTCGGAGCTGGACCTCAGTGTCCAGGCTGAACGATGGGGGTGGAGACACTCCTTCAGGTATACTGGACCGAGGCCTTCCGCACCCCTCCAAGCCTGGGAGGCAGGGCATAGATGGACTCCAGCTACAAAGTGGAGGCTGCTGAACGGACACTTGGGCTGCTGTGCTGTTTGGGGGATTTTGCGGGGGGAGAGTCGTTGCTGTTGGTTTTTTGTATCTTTATTTTAGTTCAAAACTAAAATATTTTAGTTTCCTCATATCATTCATATGGAAATTGTTCAGTTTAGTTTTGTATTTTTAAATGTTTAATTTATGGTTATTGACTACTTTTGTTATGTTGTAGCAGTGTATTTTTTTCATGTTGTAAGCTTCCTTGAGCATGGTGTGAACTATGGAAAAGCGGCACACAAATAAAATAATGTGTGTGTTAATGAAACACACAACAAATAGGTAATTAAACAACTAAAAGCAAGTGAGACCGGCTACAAAATGTTGCAGAACAGAAGCTCCTACTCAAAATATTGCCTCCTCACACCCACCCCAGGTTTTCCCATTTCCCTTCGGTCACCAAGCATTCTGTGCCCAAACAACAACAGCTTGCTCCATGCTATTTCTTCGTTATATTTAGAACATGATCTCAAAGACAGCCCAAAATCTTGGAACTTACCACTGATTTCAAATGGAAGCAGGCTATGACTTTCATTCTGCTTCTCAGTTGAGTACTGAAATAAGAGAAAGATAAATACTGTACAATTCTCCAAGTGAAGTTGTCAGTTGGTTAGTGGTTCCCCCCATTTTGAAATAAAACAGCAAGCAGCAATGCCTATCAAGGCTAAGCTATATGCATGTGTATTTTACTCAGAAGCACGTTCCACTGAGTTCAATAAGGCTTACTCCCAAATATACATACTTAAATACTTACAGTCCTTCCCTCCATAAGTCACACTGTTAGAAATCCACCTAAGGCTTTTGAATTGAATATTGCGCTTCACAAATAGACATCTAGACCCCCGATAATAAATATCTGATGCAAAATGATAACCCTGTCAAATCACTTTGTAACTGTGATTAAAACATTCAATTAAAACAGATTAAAGCAGAACAAAAAAACTGCCCACTAAGTCCAACAAGATCGTTTAAATTCAAAAGAGAGCCTCTCAATAAGGGTGAAGTAATTCGAAGAAAGCTGAAAAGCAGGAGCGATAGGACTGTCAAGCGCATTGTTTGTGCAGGTGCAAGGAAACACCAATGTGCAGAAAATTCACACAAAGGGATAGAGAGGCCTCCTGGGGACATCACCCTCAAATTATGGATTCAAATTCAAGTTCCTTTCAGAAGAATTGCGAGATCTACCCATTTGTGTTCACCTTTGGGGTTTAGGGTTAAGCTGGGAAAGGTTATGGGGAAATTGAGCAATCCTTTCTGTACAGCTGGGCAGGGGGACGTTATATGCTGTGGTCTAAACCACTGAGCCTAGGCTTGCTGATCGAAAGGTCGCGGTTCGAATCCCCATGACGGGATGAGCTCCCATTGCTCGGTCCCAGCTCCTGCCAACCTAGCAGTTTGAAAGCACGTCAAGTGCAAGTAGATAAATAGGTACCACTCCAGTGGGAACGCAAACGGTGTTTCCGTGCGCTGCTCTGGTTTCGCCAAAAGCGGCTTACGTCATGCTGGCCACATGACCCAGAAAAACTGTCTGCGGACAAACGTTGGCTCCCTTGGCCTGTAAAGCGAGATAAGCGCCGCAACCCCAGAGTCGTTTGCGACTGGACTTAACTATCAGGGGTCCTTTACCTTTTTATGTACCTGCTAAAGCAGATCAAGGCATTTTGGAAGTTTATGGCATTGCCAACTTTTTGGGAAAAACTGACCAGGGCTCTGTTCAGACCCTGCACCTCTATCACGCAGCATGGCTTTTCTAGAGGGGCAGAGAGGGAATCCTCTCTTTTGGAGCAACTAAAGCTGATTGCTGCTGCCTCCATAGTAAAAGGGGGAAAGCCTACTCCCAAAGCAATGTGGAGCACCCATCACGAAAAAGGGAAAACTGCCATGCCTCCACCTGAATGCAATTCATACGCTCGGGAATATTTCCCTCCCCTAAGATGCACACTCTATGATAATGCACAAGGATATTCTTACCAGATTAATATTGAATGTTTTACATGCCAGGTCATCCAAAGTCTGATTTTGCAGCTTTTCTGTTATTAGCGTTACCATGGTCTCTTGCTGCTTACACTTTTGAGTGCTGGAGGCACATGCGCCTTCTTCCAGTATTAGCCAACCACTTCTGGGTATGGGCACTTCAGAAGTTTTGCCTTCATCTTCTAGATGGGTACAGTTCCTCAGTGCGTTGTGTACATTTCTAAAAAAAAAAAGTAACAAATATTTAGCTTAAGCACGATTGGGTAACTACATGAAGTTTTCTGCAGCTGCATCAGATATTCAAAGCTCAAGACAAAGATACATTCTAACAGATCTGCATGCTACAAAAAATTTTTATCTGCTCTAGTAGAACCCAAATCAGGAAGATTAACTGGAAAGGACTCCCATTCAGGCTTGGTCACAGTTTAAGAGCAGAAACACACCTAATGGCTGCCACTAAGATAGCATCACAAAAGGGTCTACTCACAATGATGTGCACAGAAAACTTTCCACTCCTACAGTTTTCTATGGAAAAATATATACATTTCTAAAAATGTTTCATAAAAATTAGTAACTTAATGAACAGATGCAGTACCAAGGCAAACTAGGCCAAGACTGGAGAACTGGATTTGGGCAGCAGGCCAGATCCTTATTTTCCCTAGCACTCCCCATGGACCAAGAGACTCATTGTTTGCCGATGTGGTTTGAAATCAAAGTATGCCAGAAAGCACACAGTCCTGTGCTTTGCAAGCCCCAGCAATCAGTTGATCATCTTTGTCCAGTGCTTAGCATGCTCACACTTTTAGCAATGTTGCGTCTTTACCTCCCCACAACTGAAAACATAAATACAGTATGAGGTGCCGGGCAGGCGGTCATATCTTGGCTGAAATGGCCTGGAGAATCAATGTAGGTTTGAAGCTTAAAATTCCACATTTCACAGTTTTAATTAACTTTTCCCAGGCATGCATGTATCTGAAGAAGTGTGCATGCACACAAAAGCTTATACCCAGAACAAACGTAGTTGGTCTCTAAGGTGCTACTGGACATTTAAAAAAAAAAAAAATTTCCCCAGGCAACTATCTCTGAGAAGTGTGACATTTCTGTCATGCACAACCATTTGGCCATGCTAAAATCAGTAAGTTAATATTTTTCAGATAATTTGAACACACCCTATTGAACTGCATACTTTCTCTGAATAAAAAGAGGTAGAAAACAACCCTTCAACCCTCTTCGCTCTCATTTTAACACAGTCTCATTTCTCTTGGGAATTTGTGGCCCCTTTTTACCGGGACATCATTGATTGTCATAACTATGACAACTCTGAGAGAAGATATGATAGCCAACAACAAATATCTAAAGAGTTGTCATGTGTAAGATGGAGCAAGTTTTCTCCTGCTCTGGAAGGTAGGGCCTGTATCAATGGGTTCAAGTTACAAGAAGGGAGATTCTGACCAAACAGGAAGAATTTTCTGACAGTAAGAGCTGTTTGACAGTGGATCAGACTCCCATGAGAAATGGTGGACTCTCTTTCCTTGGTGGTTTTTAAGCAAAGGTTGGATAGGCGTCTGTCATGTATGATCTAGCTGAGATTCCTGCATCGCTGGGGATCTACGATTCTATGATGTTGGGAGCTCCTGGAGAAGATGTGATCTAGATTCAAGTTAGAAAATTGCACCAGAATGGCTTCATATTTCTTATGGAATATGGCACATCTGATAATTTGCACCACTGCTTTCTTACACGGGATCATTAGCTGAAAAGCAATGGTAACTGATAAGCATCTTTTGCCTGCATGTTTTATGATGGATTACATATTACAGTTAACTTTTCTCTGAACTCTCACAAGCTGCGCAAGTAAAAAATGGATAAGAGTTCTGTGGAACTGAAGCAGTATTGGTCCAATTAAATATCACTGGACAAATAAAACACTTAAAGGTCTCCAACCATTTGCCTCAGAAACAATAATAACTACTATCATTATCATACATTATAATAATTATCATTTATTATAACTATTATCATCACCATTTATAAAAATTCGTATACCACCCTTCATCCATAGATCTCAGGGTGGCTCACAACATAAAACTGCAAGATAAAAAACACAAATACACAATAAACATAAGAACAAAAATGAACCAATAAAAGTATCATTTCCGCTGTTGTTTGGAACAGGCTGAAGCAGTAGTTAGTAATCACACACAATGATGTAT